TATACACAAACGCTGCAAATCTGAAACGACGCTGAGGAACAACACAAGCTGAATGCCGCCAACCAACAATGACAATGACGACGAATGAATAAAAACAAAAATATTATCCATTTAGATAAGGAAGAATGAAAAACCAAAAACAACAACATCAAAACTGCTGTATTTGAAGAGAAACTAAAACAAAAATTAAAAACAGTTAAAGCAAGTTCTAAAACTGCAGCGCTAACTATTCCGCATGCAACGCTGTTATATTACAACAAAGCAAGCGAAAAATGAAAACAGCATACATTCATAAGTTTATATAAATATAAAGCAACACCAATTGTAAAATCAATCAACAACGTATTGTATTCAATAAATGAACAAAAAACCAAAATATCCAACAACAACAGCATAAACCTTGCAGACCTTGTTAATTATATGCGAAAATTAATATTATTTATATTTATAACAGTTTCTATTTGTATTTGATATTCGGTTGAAAGCGTAAAATTTCTAAAATCTGAACGGTTACTTACAATAATATATATAAATGTGTGGAAATAAATCCAGTTTTCTAACACGTATTAAACGAAGAAAATTAACCTTTGGCATTCTTTTGTGTACTAATTTTGCTTATTTCCGATTTGGCTTGTGTTTATTGTTTAAAGCAGAGCCACCGAGCAAGCTTAATACCCCTTTTATGTAAGACTACTTAGTCTATAGTTGTCACGTTATTACTCATGTTTGCTGTAACAGTATTTTATATAGCAAATTGCTAGTGATCGCCGTCAACTTTCAGCCCTGTGTTGAGGAAATTTTTCTGTACGTTTTACTAGCGGCTTTTATACTGGACTAGTCGTCATATGTTACATAATATGGATGTACCATATATAATGTCAACAGCTCTCAAAAAGTTTCACTTATGCTTTGTATAAAGTTTAATTTTCGTAAGAAGAAAATTTCAAAAATGTGAACCACACAAATGTATTTATTATCACCGAAAATGCAAAACAACGTATCTCAAAATTAAGTTTTTTATAGCTAACGGTTCATTTATACTGTAGCATAAAATTTTTAGCTTCCCTTGTCAAATATAACCAATATATAACCATTTTATAAACAAATCTCATAGTTTTTCAGTATAAGTGGTTTCTATATATCGTTTTTCCTTCGCCTGTAAACTTATGAAAAGTGATTTTGCATTATTTTGCATTTTAGGTGACGATATGTAGATAATCACGAAATTGGATTGTTAAAAACAAATCGCTTTCATGAATATGTATTCGAAAATGCAAAAAAAATCAAATTACTTGCTTAAATAACGGTTAACTGATACTAGCTAGACACTTTTTCAGATTTAACTGATCTGAAGTCTAAGTTTTATTGTTAGTCAACCTTTCAGAGTAATTTTTCATGATTTTTATAAAGAATTCGTTAAAATTTAATTTCCACAATTTATTCACAAATTTTTTTTTCATGTTCCGACAAATATTCATTTGGAGTAATTTTTCATGATTTTCAGAAAGAATTCAATAAAATCTTATTTGCAAGATTTTTTTAAGAATTCTTTAAAATTATTTTTCAAGGTCCGACACAATATTCGTTGCATAGTTTTTGGCGTCCAACCCAATTGAATTCGTATTGTTGCCGAATTTAATGACAACTTCAGCTGAAATGGTGAAATCGCATTATTCTGGCAGCCTTATGCCAATTTCATATTAAGAAAATTCAAATTGTTTGCAATTTTGCATTTTAATTGTGTTTAAAGCCTAGTTTTAGGTGCAAAAACAGATGTTGAAACAA